GGCTAGGTACCCGATCAAGTTTTGTTTGAACTACCCTGAAATCATCGGGATTTGTTTGTTTAGGCTTTGAGTGAAGGATTGTATCGCCCAGTCATTCGAGACTGGGGGTAATCCCGTTCATTCCATCAGGGAGTGGGGTGCGAATTCCTATAGGATATCATTCTCCCTTTATTCGGCCCTGGATGTGTCGGGCTTTCTCGTCGTTGCTTCGATAGTATCGGTGTGTGCTTTTATGGAGGAATCTGCCGATATGGTAAGTGGGTTTATGGGGTTGGGCGCTAGGTTATGACGCCTCATCATGGTCCTTTTCGTGTGTGTTTCCCCGAACCTCTTCAATAAGACGAACTCGATCTCATCATCTTTTGGGTCGTTGCCTTTTTTCGCGCACGCATAGGCAGTGATGTGTTCGTCGGGATCTGAGGTCCCATTGTATTTAGGGATTTTTGGCATTCTGAATTTCTTTTAAATGGGTTCCGGGGCTGCTTCCTGGGAGAACGTCCATTGTACGAACTTCCTCGAATCTGCACCTTCCAAGACCGAAGGCGAGCCCGGGATTTGGTCGACCCTAAAGTTGTAGGTCTCGACCTTCTTATCGTTGGCTGCTATCAATTTATCACCCGATTTGATCCTTTCGATGAGATCCCCAAGCATCTTTGCTATGGAAAGGTCGGCTACAGATCCGTTATTGCTTGATCTCTTGGGTACTTGATCGGCGGAGGGAGCTATTTCTGGGCTGCTAAGCTGGGAGTTTTCGGATGGCTTTGTAACTGAGCGATGGCCAACTATTGTGCCTGCAACATTTCAAAAATGACATGAAGACTAACTTCATGTTCTTCCCGGGCTGGGCTCTTTTGGGCTTCCAGTTGGTCGCCATGCTGTATACTTCCGTCGGTGTGTGATGTTTCGTCGCCCTGCTGCGCTTTTTGCGAACCCGCGTCCGCTGGAATCAGTCCAGGTGCATTATCAGGGTTCTGCGGTGGCGCACCAACGGCTGGAACATCCACACCGTTTTCGCCGTGATTTTCGAGGTAGCCGTTCTCAACCCTGTTTACCGAGCCAGAATTTTCGACTTGAAATTAAGAGATCTTGGACAAGAAAAAGTGTGAAAGAGAACTTGCGTTTTTGTAATGAAACCAGTAAGAAAATAATCACTATTATTTTTAGCCCCACGGTGGGCGCTAAACTGTTTGCCGTGAAAATGGTAACAACAGTTTAATTTGTAAAATTGTATTCTAAAAATACGTGATTTATTTTTATGTTAGTTGTTTAGAGCAGTTGATGCTAAGAGTATGGAGTTTAACGAAGAAATACAAGCTAATGCGGGGCAGTAATCAAACCAAGGGGCTTGCAACCCGATCCTCGGACTGGTCGATGAATGGCCTCGGGGTGGATATCCGGCACAATCTCGAGCTACTGGGGGTAGTCGGGAATGGGATAACAGTTAAGGTATGATTAATCAAGGCTCTTTATGGCATATACCAAGCAATTAAAATGAAGGACAAGTATGAAACTAACAAAATCCTAAGAGTGGCCTCGAGCTAGTAAGAATGAGCAAGTTAGAGAGAAGAAAGAGAGAGAGAGAGATATATTATTGATCTTGTGGAGAATAATTGGAGACAAGAGGGGTTGATCTGATGGTAAGCAACCCCCACTTCCAACCGAGAGGTTGTGAGTTTGAGTTTCCCCAAGAGCAAGGTGGGAAGTTCTTGGAGGGAAGGATGTCGATGGTCTATTTGGAAACAGCCTTCCTACCCCAGGGTAGGGGTAAGATCTGCGTACACACTACCCTCCTCAGACCCCACTAAGGCGGATTACACTGGGTTGTTGTTGTTGTTGTTATGGAGAATAGTTGGAGCAATATCAGCCGAGAACCCTACAAAGTGATGGGGATCCCCTTTATATAGGAGGGAAATCCATTATAGTACAAAACGTGTTAGCTGTAAAGGCGTGGAGATAGGGTGGCTGGACATCACATCTTGAAATAGGCCCCGGATAGGTCAGCCTTGTCAGATTAAGCCGTGTTCCTTGGGAACTCCCCTCTTGCCTATTGCAGCCTGCTATAGCCGTTGGAATGCGATGCCCTCAGGACCGGTACTTGATGACCCCCGAGGGTGAGTCTCGACCTTGGCTTCGCGCTTCGAGGAGCATGACCACCAGACGACCCTATGACGGGAAAATCGGGCCCTCGGATTCATCGTATACAACACCAAATCCAATTTCGGATAGGAATGGAAACCAAAAGAGAATAGTATTAGGCCATTGGGCCTTTGGCTGGACAACATGAGTATGTGCCCAACAAACTTTCCCTCTAGCCAAGGGGCCAAATGTGTCTTCTAGTAGAGGAACTATTGACAGACTTCATGCCTGCCAATTTTCTGCAAAATTCATGTTTATCTGCAACCACCGCCTTTGTCAGCATATCCGAAGGATTTTCATCAGTGTGTATCTTCTCAACCTCAAATAATTTCTCTTCCACGACCATTCTTATCCAATGATACTTTCTATTTATATGTTTGGTCTTAGAATGAAAAGTGGAGTGCTTGCTAAGACAGATAGCACTCTGATTATCACAAAATAAGATGTACCTTGGCTGCTCAAAGTCAAGATCATTAATAAACTCTTTCATCCATAATAGTTCTTTGGCACCTTCTGTGACAACACTATATTTGACATCTGTGGTGGATAGAGCTATGCACTTCTATAGTCTAGATTGCCAAGAAACAGCTCCCCCTGCAAAAGTGATCAAATAACCAGAAGTAGATCTTGAATTTTCAAGATTTCCTACTAAATCAGAGTCTATGTAAAAAAAATGTTCAGGCTTGTCATTGCCAAAGCATATCTTCAAATCTGCAGTACCTTTCAAATACCTTAATATCCATTTTACTGCATCCCAATGTTCTTTTCCAGAATTAGAAAGGAATCTACTAATAGTACCAACAACATGTGCAATATCTGGTCTAGCGCAAACCATAGCATACATCAAGCTACCAATGTCAGAAGAGTAAGGAATACGAGACATCTCCTTTTTCTCTTCAACGGTAGATGTGTTGTGACTAATACTTAATTTGAAGTATTTAGCAAGAGGAGTACTAACCACTTTTGCATCTGTCATACTGAACCTCTTGAGTACCTTCTCAATGTATTGCTTTTGGGACAGAAATAAATGCCTAAGATTTTCTTTGCTAGCCCCAAGTCCTTCATTGCAAACGATTTGCTCAACTGCTTCTTAAGGACTACAATTCTGGATTTATTCTTGCCAACAATAAGCATGTCATCCACATAAAGCAATAAAATAATAAAATCATCATCAGAGAATTTCTGGAAGAATACACAGTGGTCTGAAGAAGTTTTCTAGTACCCTTGTTCTTCTATGACAAATTCAAACTTCAAATACCATTGCCTTGGAGCTTGTTTCAATCCATATAGGCTCTTTTTCAATTGGTAGACAGTTATATTTTCCGTCTAGGAAAAGAAAAACCCAATTATGGTAAATATGTTGTCCTTTCCTTCATGAGATAGAAAAACCAATTATGGTAAGAAAATCTTGAAAAACACCTAACAATTCTCCACTTTTCCTGAATTTTCTGATAAAATAAACTTGATTCACCTTCTTCACATAGCCTTCAACAGGTCGCATCTCCAAATCTCCACCGCAAAGTTTGTCTCAACGTGCGTAGCACACCCATCAAATTTCTCAGACGAAAATCACGATTATCATCAAATATGTTGCGACTAGAACTGAACCCGCCAAGATGAACTTGTCTTTAACCTCGCACTAATACTACTTGTTAGGACCGAAAATAATCAGGTGTCATACGAAAGCTAGCAAAGCAAATCTTGAGTAACGATAACAACAAAAGAGAAATATACCAAAAGAGACACAAATATTTAACGAGGTTCGGTCAACTGAACTACATCCACGACGGAGATGAGCAATCCACTATATGAAAGAGAGTACACAATATCAAGAGAACAACCTCACGAAGAGGCAAACACAAGTGACACACTAACACTTGTCCCGTAAAGTTCTCCCCCTAAGCACGACTCTCAAATCCCATATGGCTACATTTGTGGATGCTGGTGAATGACAAGGACAGATCTTCAATTTATAGAACTTCAAACATTTTCCTATAAGAAAAGGGACTAGCCAAATATGGAAAAATTATATTTTCCCTCTACGAAAAGAAAAGCCAATTATGGTAAATATGTTGTCCTTTCCTTCATGAGATAGGAAAATCAATTATGGTAAGAAAATCTGGACAAACGCCTAATAATTCTCCCACTTTTTAAAATTTTATGAATCCCCTTGGCGAAAATTATCCTTCTGCCACTAGCAGTGGGGATGAAGAAGGTTGAAAGAGAGTTTTGAAAAATATACTTTCCTCCTCTTAGTGAGGAAGTCATTTTCCTCTAACCGGAGAAAGATGGGTTTACCAAGAAAATATTTTTCAAAATATTTAAACAACCAAATTACTAAACACACCCCTAGTATTTACTGTTTATACAAGTCAATAAAGCAAAATATATATCATTTGTAAACATGTTAATCAAATAAGTTGAGAACCTTAAGATCTCGGAATCAAATCTTACAGCGTCATAAATACTATGTAAACAAGGTTTTCGATCTTGTGGAACTGTAATTAAAGGAATGCCATGAAAGGAACCTATTGCTTTACACTGGTAACACCCCTTAGTAGATTGATTCTTGAGTGTTAACCATTGACAAGGAACGAAAAGGATAATGTAGGTATGCATTGTCTTAGTAAACTTTGTTCAATCTGAGGAAAGTTAAGCTTCTAGATAGGACAAAGAGAGCATCACCTAAAACCTTCTTAAGTCTGATTTTAGCTGGGCATTTCAGCCAGTTCTCATACGACCAGCTTGTTTCTAATTGTTTTTCCTTTTTTTTTTTGGTGCAGAAAACTTACCCTAATTGTAAGGAATTAATATTTTAATTGATTGGTTGAAGATGTTTTTAAAGAGCACAGAAAGAAAAGAAGTGACAAACAACTCTATGATTTACATCGATCAAACAAATGCAGTATCATGTGAAAGTTATCATAATGTATTGAGGCGGATTACATTCATTCTACAAGAAAACTATTGAATACAAGACAACTATTGTTAATCTTCTTCTATTAGACTATCAGATGTATAACTATATAAACCTTCACTTTTGAAAGAAATATTCTCTTCAAAACTATCAGCACGTAGCATGTCATATGATCTCGTCTTTGTAAGTTCCTCAAGTTCAGCTGCTACCTCCTTCATATTTGGTCTGTTCCTTGCATTAGATTTCAAGCATCTTCTGGCAAGCGTAGCCACAACGGGGACTATCTCCTGACCTTCAACATCTCTTGCAATCTCAGGATCTACCATTTCTGTTAGACGACTTTGTTTAAACATTGATTTGAAATGCATTGCTAAGCCTTGACTACTAGATGCATCGGAAGAGACAGCTCTTTGGCTTGTAAGAAGCTCCAGAAGAACCACTCCAAATGCATAAACATCACTCTTATCGTTAAGTTGGCCAGATCGAAAGTATTCAGGGTCTAAGTAGCCAAATGTGCCTCCGACTTGTGTTGTTAAGTGAGTCTTTTCGATGGATACCAATCTTGATAGTCCAAAATCAGAAACCACAGCTCTATAATTTTCATCCAATAATATGTTACTTGATTTGATATCTCTGTGGAAAATAGCACTAGAAGCACAAGAATGCAAGTAAGAAAGTGCACCTGCTATTTCTCTAGCAATTCGTAAGCGATGCTCCAAAGAGAGAGTAATTGTTGATGTTCTTGATTCACTAGGAATAGGGCTAGATCCATGAAGATGGCGCGATAGAGTGCCATTGCATATGTATTCATAGACCAATAACGGAACTTGAGTCTCTAAACAACAACCTAATACTTTGACAATATGTCTGTGGTTTATTTGAGAGAGAATGAAAATCTCATTTACAAACTGACCAACTTGATCTTCATCAACTATATTAGATTTCTTGATGGCGACGATCCTTCCATCTGATAGCATTCCTTTATAGACAGTACCAAGCCCTCCCTTTCCAAGAATTCGACTTTCGTTGAAGTTGTCTGTTGCTTTTTCCAACTCCTCTTTTTGGAAGAGTTTCATATGTAAAAAAGTGCTATCACTTCCTTTATTCATAGAAATTTGCTTTTGCATTAGCAATCCACCATTCCTTTTAAAAAACTTTTGTTTAGCTTTTACCTCTTTCCTATTTTTAATTTGTCGATATAGCAACAAACAACCCGCTATCAGGACTATCAAAATAACAGCTGATGAAATTCCTGTTTGCCAAAAAATAAGTAACAATGTAATTCAGGATAGAAATTTAAGAAGAGGCAAAACTCAAAGGAAATTAAAAGCAAAAATCACAAGGAGTATTAAAAAGAAATATATCCAAGTAGTAGTAATAAGTGGAGGTGCAAATTGAAGACAATACCATAGCATAGCTGCAAAACAAGCGTGCGTCTCCCATTATTTGGCTTACAATAGAAACTGCCAGGAGTGTTAAAACAACGAGTATTATGTGGACAATGACCCCCATTTGGACTTGCACACTCATTAATATCTGCAAAAAAAATAGAATTAAAAAAATTAGTTTGTTAGAATAGAATATATATATTGTTACAATATATTCCATTAATGGAGAAAAGGTGAATAGATTTTTGTAATGAGAATTATAAAAATTGCTGAATACAGAAAGCAAAGTTATCTAGGAGCGAGGCAGGGGCGGATGCAGTGGGGTGCAAGAGGTTCAGTTGAATTCCTCGCACAACTACAAAAATAGAAATGAGTTGCGGACAAATTCTGTAGCTAAACAGAAAAATCCGTTGCTAATCCTATTTAGCGACAGATTATCAAAAAATTATGTAAGCTAAAAACGATTTAGCGACAAAGTTCGTAGCTACTTCTAATTTTTTTGTAGCGTGGCTAGGCCAATGCTAGGAGGTCCGTATATATATACCTTGACATCCATTCGAGAGGTAAGGGTTGCCTTGATAACCGTTAGAGCAACGGCAGCGGTATCCATAGCTGGAATTGACGCAATCACTGTTGTTTCCACATCCATATTCTCGGCTTCCCATAGCTTGCGCGCAACTCATGTTGCCCATCACCCACTCCAACGTAGTTTCACCAAAACCAACAAGCTCTTTTGCACAGTTGCTGGAATTGCTACTTAATATTTCACTTATGTACTTGGAATTATGACCACTGGACCCCATCAAGCAAAAGCTGCAATTGTTAAATGCCCAGGCCGCTTTCATGGTGTTCATTGTTTGTATTGACACTATCACATTTTTAGGCATCCATGAAATGGCACTCTGGCAACACCCATTATTTCCAGTGCAAGAAGAAGTAGCAGCAACAGCAAAGTTATTTGTATTGCAAAAGGAAGCACAACCACTTACAAATTCTCCGCTCTCTGCATCTTTGACATAAGCATAGATATCACAACCAATGACTATAAACTTATTTCTAGACAACGACATATGAAAATGTCCTTGTCCAGTTGATCCACTAATGGGCTCATCGCCGTTAATGTTTTTCCCCGAAGATTTGTCGTAGACAACAGGAAGAAAAGACGAGTCAGTCCTGATTGAGTCCATTGCGATATTGAAGATTTGTATAGGAAATGGTGAGTAATCAGTGGCGACCCATGTTGATGAATGATTCGTGTTGTCGTCGAAGCAGTTGATTTCAAATGCTTTATCAAAGTAACAATCTTTTCCTATCCCAAATGGATATGGAATGGTTAAGTTCCCACATTTGTCTTTGCACCCGGGCTTTGCCACCACAGACAATGATGATGATGATGATAATGATACAGAAACTTCTGCTTGTTGGAGAAGTAGCACAAGAAAAAGAAAGACCAAGGAATTATTTAGCAGTATGTAGACACTCTTCATCTCTTTCACCTCAGTGGTTAGGAAAATGTCTGTCAAAAGATGGCGTGTATATATATATATATATATTTGTACTACTCTATAAGTTATTTATAGACCAACTTTGAGAGATTTAAATAAGAAAACAGAATGAGAGTTGCTTTACGTACTTTCCTGTTCCGCCCTCCTCCCTTGACTTCACAGAGTGAGAGTATATACTAATACTAATACTTCAAAGTGTAAAGATAATTCTTACTGTTGATATATACTTCTTGTCTTGCGCATATTATAGTTAATTTACAAAGTTGAAAAGATTTCTTCGTGAATCGTGACAGAGCACAAGACATGGCGTTTAGCCCACTACATTACATATATCTATGTGTTAGAGCACGTGGCACGTGAATATCAACACTGACAATATTATATTTCTTAAAAATTCCTTAAATACATATGTGTTGAAGCTTAAAGAGTCCTATACTCCAATTATTATTAGATGTACTTTTACAAGGGGAGTTAGAGTTTAAATCTAAGTTTACAGACATGTCTAGTGTCCCTCTTATGTTTTCATTAAGATTTTTCTTTTTTTTATTCTTTTTCTTTTTTATTTGGTTTATTCATTCAAAATTCCAAATCTAACACATTGAAATTCTTGATCTCATTTTGTCATCGCAAAATTTTATATAATTATAACTAGTAGCAGTAGATGACGTAGCATGATTCAATGATTCCATATTTTTTATATGGAGTATAGGATATGCTAAAACTCACTAAAATTGCAAGAAAATATTAGTTTTAACGTATAATTTTTAAATAATAATGCATCCATGGTAAAACCTAAAGATTTAACCCGACATATATAAAGTTTAGATTTACCTCTTTGTAATAGTGCATCTATCTTATCTACCTCTAACCCTTTGGTGTTATATTTTATGTTTCTTGCCTTGAAAAATATTTTTATTTAATCAAAACACGCATTTAAGCGTTTTTTTATTTAATCAAAACACGCATTTACGCGTTTTGCGGGGTACTTATGCTTGGACTCACTTTTCAGCTGCTAGCTCTGGCACCAGGCTCGTGAACTTTAATTCGGTCAATTTTGAGTTGCTTAGTGTACTTTAGTTTAATACTAGTACCAGATCTTTAGTTTTAATATTAGTACACATGTGGTTGTAAAGGAGTATAGTACTTAACCGTCCATACTCCACGACTATTTACACTCAAACTTTTCTATAACAATTTGATTTGTTCCGATATATTTTATTTTTGTAGTGAATGATTGCTATAACAATAACAATAACAACAATCCAGTATAGTCTGTCTCCAAATAGATCATCGACATCGACATCCTTCCCTCCAAGAACTTCTCACCTTGCTCTTGGGAAGACTCGAACTCACAACCTCTTAGTTGGAAGTGGAGGTTGTTTACCATAGATTGCTATACACATATAATAACATCTGATGTTGAAATATTCTTTGACGATTATAGATATAATTATTTTTTTCCTTCTGTTAAATTTACATATAAAAGATAAAAAAAATTATCTTTGTTTAATTCCATGCCATCTTTGTTTCTAAAGGAATAGTTATCTGGACAATGACATTAATTATTGAAATCAAGGAATCAAAATGCCTTAAATAAATACTTTAATGTGCTACATGAAATACTGAGTCCAATAAAAGACTTAAAGTTTAGTGAGTATTTCTTAAAATCTTAAACTTATGGACGATGGGAATAGAAAAAATATGTGCAGAACTTCAAATATTAGGCATTATGCACGATGAAAACTTTTGTGCAATGGAATAAAAGTATACTTTCATATCTTTTAATGAAATTAATTGAAATCTTTAATTATGAAAGTATATACTAAAATAATATTTTTATCATAAGTTGTGCATTACAGTTGTAAAACATTTGGTCAAAATTTCTAGAATTATTATTAATAATTTTAAAGATTCTATGTGACGATCTGATAAGTTATTTTCAGTAGTAGACCTTGTTCCGAGACCTCTCATAACTTCATTAGATGTTATATGACTTGCGTGCGTGGTCCGTGTTATTTTTCGGAAAGTCTTTAATTATTGATTTTAAAAATAACTAAAGTTGATCAATGTCAACGTTTGTGGTACACGACCTCGGATTGGTGTTTTGACGATTCTGGTAGGTTTGTATGATGTTTTAGAATTTGTACACTTGTTCGGTTGGGATCCGGAGTGATCCGAGCGCGTTTCGGCGCATTATGTGAAAGATTGTGAATAATGAGTTTTCAAGTTGAAATCTTGAGTTTGATGACTGATTCTTGTTATTTGATGTTATTTTGATGATTTGAAGTAGCGAGCAAGTTTATATTATGTTATTACACTTCTGTGCTTGTTCGGTTTGGAGCCCGAGAAGCTCGGGTGAGTTTCAGATTGGTTTCGGACTATTTTTGAACTTGTGAAGTGCTGGTTTTTCTTCTAGTGCGTGCTTCGCGATCGCGAATGAAAAAGGTTGGGGCTAGGGCTGGTTACTCTTCGCGAAAGCGAGAGGTAGATCACGAATGCAAAACCTAGGGGGATTATCCTTCGCGAACGCATAGCTTTGGGTTGGCGGGA